TGAGCATCCTGAAGTTTTTTGTTTGGGGGGGGGGGGGGTACTCATAGTCGTGCATGCCGTAGTCGTTAGACCATGGACCTCGCAGACTATGGGGATGTGATAAAAAAACAAAGAACGAAAATGTATATGGTGAGCGTTGTCGTTGTGGGGATGTTCGAGTTGAGGTCTTTCGTTGATCGAGCAAATGTGTGTTGTGTCTGTACGGTTGCCATCGACCATGCTATCCGGCTGACGAATGAAATGACGTCAGTCTCAGTGCAGTTGAAAACAGTATATGCTTCCTAAATGCCATGATCTGGGAAGTGTCGTGGTGGAGGCTCTAGGCTAAAGGCTATTCTATATTCTTGTTTTGTTTCTTTGGGGGGGGGCGGTCTCGAAACGAGCTGTGTAGCAGATGGACGACGACAACCAGCCGGAAAGTTGTCGGGGTCTCTTGCGTGTAGCTGTCCGTGGTATCCAGAACCCCGCTCGTTGAATGGTTTCCTTTTACAGCTGTTCTTGCTAATGAATTGCTTTGCTACGTAGCACTTGGTAGACCGGGGGAGGCGGTGCTGGAGGGGATGTCGAACACTCATATCCCCTGTGCTATCCGTCCGTCTCAGGGAAACAGAGACACCTCCCGTCTCCCTCTGCCGAAAGCCCGGCAGCATAATTAAGTACCTTCTTTCGCGTCCTTTCGACGCTTGTCCCATGACACGGCGCCCTCCCCCCCCCCGTGCCTCCCGTCTGCTGTCCCCCCTGCCCGGTCAGCTGGAGCTTGCGAAGAAGCCTCGCGTGGTAAGCATGACCGCCATCTGCGCCGACGTGAAGGAGCTGGGCAACAACCTGGTAGAGCAGAGCAAGGACGCCCGGGATGACATCGTCAAGCGGGCTTCGGAGAAGGTGGAGATGGTGAGAGAGAGGGCAAAACAGATGTAGGGTTGTGTGTATGAGACTGCTGTTGTATCAAGACTTCGTGTTCAGAAATGGTTCGGTGAGGTGTAAGATGGCCTCTTCGAGTCTAAACGCGTTGGCCGTGCGGGGTGTTCGACCTTGTGTACTGTTATTCCACCATTTTATACCGCTGGCAGTCCGTTTTTCTTTTTTGCATCTTGCACCGCCCGAAGGATGTCGCGAGAAACATTGCTTTTTTTTGTAGAGGCACGATACGCAGTCAATCGTCCCGCGTTCTTTGGGCGGGAGGGGATGGTGATGAACCAATGCCCAACTATTGTCTGAAAAAAAATTATGACATCCTATTTGAGATATAAACTTGGAATATTTATTAACAGAAAACCCCAAACGCATTGTTGTTCCTGGCGTTCAACTGGTTTCAGAATTTTCCTAGAGGAAAACTTGAAAGCGCAAAACACCGGGGATGACCCAGAAAAAAAAAAACGATTCTAAACAACGTCCGATCGATCTGAAAATTTCAAATTTGTTTAATTTTGGGCCGGCGAATACAAATCCATTGGCTTATTGTTCATCATCACATTTGGAACAGAGTTGCAGCTGTCCGGTACGGTCTGCAGCGCCCCCCCCAGGGGGCGGTGATGCAGTGTCCTGCCCCCCCCCCCTCCCCATTAGCCATTCTCGGTCACACCCGCCTTTGTTCTTATTGTATTCGGCCCGTTTTTTTTTTGTTGTGGCCTCGAAACAGGCGAGAGTAGTCGTGCAGCCCCACTACGACTCTGCGGTCGAGGCCTCCAAGCCGGTGGTCAAGAAGGCCATGGAGATTACGGAGCCGCACCGTAAGAAGGCCGGGGAGGTGCTGGCTGTGTACCGGGGGAAGTTCGACGAGAGCGTGGGGGCGCCGGCTGCAGAGGTGAACAAAAAAATACAAAAAAATGGTCAAGAAAACGCGGTTGGCGATCACTCCTAAAAGGCAGAGCAGCGCATCTTCTTGCTGTGCCACCAAGATCCCGAAACACTGCTGTTTTTGTTTGCTGGAATGTATAGTAAACGTCGTTCGGTCTTGTGACGAGAGATTTTTCGATTTTCCATCTCTGGTGTGGGCTTTTTTTCTTTTTTTTTATTCGGAAAGTATGCCGTCTTTGTGGACCTCGACACGCGCCCCGTCCGTGGTTGCGTCTCGTCGTCTGGTTCCGCAGTTCCTTTCCCCTTTGGGGGGGCTTTTCTTAACGCTCTTTCAATCTTGTAGAACTGTATCTTGTCTGAATTAGAAGGGATAAAGTTGAAACCGACAACACACGGAGAGCGCTGTTCTCATGTTCATTTCTTTTTGAAATGTGTGGAGCAACACGACCGCCACCATATCGTTTCCGACAACGAGGGCTCTCGGGCCGCTACCGACCGACCTTTCCCCTCCCCCCGCCGAAGCACCGACGTTTTTTGATGGTCGAAAATTGCGGCGTCCACCATGTAATTCCGTAATCGCCATGTTTTTTTTTTTTTTTTTCAAGAAATGGTCGAGCGGGAAAGCGAAGGTTTCCGAGGCTTGGCAGGCCGCACAGACAAAGAGCGATGAGTCGGCAGCGTGGATTGTGTCGGTTCTGGTGAGCTGGGGAATGCCCGAACAAGAGGCGGAAAAGGTGAGCCAGAGCCAACATTGTCTTGAGAATTTTCTTGTGACTCAATAGTGGACTTGCGGTAGACTCAGAAGTAGTCCTGGGATGGATGATGGGAAATTTCTTTTGGACACAATACCCGTGCATGTACGCTTTAGATGAGTTAACGTTCCGGGCTTTCATGTGAAACAAATAATTGAGATATGTGAGCGGTTGGACTGTTCGTAAGGTGTGGCAGAGGCTCTTTAGGTGAGTTGACGTGCCGGTCTTGTGTGCGATGCGGCAAGACACGTTTCACAGAAGAAGCCTTCATTTTGATCGTTTGCGAGGTGTGCGAAGACAAGACATACACACATTTCAGTCTGTCACACGATATGTGGCGGAAACGTTTTATGTTAGTTGATCGTTGTCGAGCTTGTGTGAGATGTGACAGGCGCGCTCGAGTTACCCCCCAAATGTCGCGCGATGCCTACAGCATGCCACAAGAGAGAAGCCCTATAATATTACTACAGATACTACTGTTTCGTATTGTATCGCGTGGTGGATTCATGACGCAGTAGGGATTCAGCCGGCCACCCTGGCACTCACAAGACCCATCTTTTGCTTTGGCGCTCTCCTACGCCCTATGGTTTTCGCCTGGTGGTGGGATTTTCTTACGCGACGGTGGTGGTAGTAGTGCTGGCTACGCTGTTGCTCCCTGCTCCTACCTCAACCTTACCCCGCCACTGGCCTTGCACTCTTTTCTCCACCGCTCCGGCTGTTCCCTTAGACGTGCCGGTACGTGAACAACCTTTTGTTGGCAACTGTGGTCGTGGCGCTGGTTGTCTACTTTGGGGGAAGCACCGTGACGTACTTCATATGGCCAGTGGTGAGGGCTGGTTCCGATTTCCATTCCGTGTGGTGTCGTCGTCCGCGCCGTTTTATCCCGGAATACCGTACCGTGCTCTCCCGGATTTTCCTGCCGTGACAGGTCCAAGTCCCCCCCCCCCCCCCAAAAATGTGTTGCGAAAAAAAAACGGGAATGTCAGGCCGGAAGGAAAAAAAAATATCAATACCAAAAAAGGCGTTCATCGTTTTGGGCTTGCGCGCGCGCACCCAAGGTGACGCTGATCCGTTCTCTCATGTCGTTGTCGTGGAAGGCACCCACGAGGTACACTATTGTGTGGACGTTTGAACGGAATACATTAGCGAAACGGACCGAATAGGGTCGCACCGGCACACGTGTTGAATCAAATCAATATGCGGTCTTCAATTGTTGGACGACGTAGTCTGTATTCTCTCGGCCGCAATGGGTTTTCTGTGAAGACATTTCATTTCACACTTACTGGTCTAATATTTCGTGCGATATCTCCACCACTACTTCCCTGATACCCCCACACGCCCTCCGCTTGTGTGCCATCATCCCGGTCCCGAAGGGGGCTACGAAAACGCTTCGCTCTACTGGCACACTCCACCCGCAACATTTGAAACATGTACAATATACCCACGGTGCCAACAAGTCCCTTTTGGTACCGATAGCAGCGAGAAAATGAAACCGCCACCTCTTGCTCTTGTATGAAAATGAAACCGTCATCTCTTTGCTCTTGTATTCGTACACGGCAACTGAACTCATCGCCCTGCTTCGTCATCCGAAATCCGCCCCGCCACACACGCACGCAGCTGCGCACCGTGTTGCGCCTCGCCCTGTGGGTGCTGGTCCTGCCGCTCCGCATACTCTTCCTCCCGGTCCGCCTGGTGTTGTGGGTGTTGCTCAAGTGCTTCCGGCTGGTGTTCGGCGGGGGTGCCGGCAACGCCGCCCCGCCCGCCGCCGCGGCGAAGGGCGCGACAAGAGAGTCCAAGAAGAGGAGATGAACCTTCTCAGTCGCGTGCTGCTTGTCACCCGCGATGCCGCCGCCTGCGACATGCGCAACATGCGCACGTCCCCAGAGGGGGGGCGAGTGAATTTTTGCCCTCCCAAGACAACGCTCGAAAAAGAATAATAACCCCGAGGCGGTTTCAAAAGGAAACGCCCTAGCCAAATTTTTCAGGGTTGTGAATGGAAACCGGCGGCAGTATGAGGCGGCCGCGTCCAGAAATGACGCAGCGGCGGAACCCCAGTTTTCTGATTGGCCAAATTGTTCTGAAAAGGAACTTGGACCCTGGGTGGAAAGTCCCTGGTCTGCCGATAACGTGACACCTTTCGGGCAAACAAAAATAAGACACATTGCCTCTTTTCCTAATGTATTTGTCGCGGGGTTACTTTATTTGTGCGACGAATCACGGAGTAGTTTCAATCGTGGACGGTCGGTCCTTCGGGGGATATTATTATTTTTTTTCCCCAACAGTTTTGGAGCTTTTACCTGATTGCTGGTAGACGGTATCTAATAGTAGGGCTTTTGGAACGAACGGAGGCAGATTGTGTGCGTTTGAGCGGGGGGTAGGCGCGCCGAACGAGACAAGCCTCTCGTGAGCGACGGCGTTTTGAGCCGAAGACGGAGAGGGGACGGACGACTCGGCGGGTTGGACGAACACGCCTGTTTCTTTCGGGGTTAAGTGAACAATAATGGGCTCGTGCGGGTTCGCCGCCAGATCAACGCTCATCGCAAGGTATTTTAGTCGTTATTGTTCATGCTCGATCGGGCGCCGTGTGGGGGTTAAGCTTACAAACGGTTGTTGGCAGCATTATTGTTGTCTTTGATTGGCAGTCTCTTCACTCTGACTTCTTTTGTCCGAGGTATCGAGTTGGAAGAGTTGGACTGTGATTTCATTCTCAAAGCCACGCCGTGGGTGAATGAAGAGCATGGCCCTCCGCGGCATATATACCCGCGTGTGGTGTGGAGTGTTGGGCACAGCGCGTGCGAACTGCGGGGCGTGAGTGGTACATATCGTCCGCCTGGGCAACCAACCATCTGTCGAAAGCCCCGGGTTTTCCTGCCTACAACCAGGAACCGCCGCGGTTTGGTGACGCACGGGGTGTGCTACCTGTTGTCGTTGTTGAAACTATTGGTTGTTCTGTCTGATTTCTTGGGGAGAGGTGCCGATGTGTGTAGTCTACCGCTGTTGTCTTCTTGTTTCTCTCTCCTTGCGTGCCCTTTTTCATCGGGAAGATAAAATTTAGTGAAACATCGTCATTTTGTGTTGAGGAGGGAGGCCAGGACAGCACGTTCGGGGGCAATCTGGAACACACCATATTCGACAATGAAGGTAACCCGCGTGCCATCAGGTAAGGGGCTGAGAATATATTCTCCCAGCGTAACTGATGGCTGTACGCATGCTCCTCGACCACGCCGTCGTGATGTGCTCAATCATCTCGTGACACATGGAGGTCTCCTTCAAACGGGGTTCGTAGTATTGTAGGCCATCACGAAGGTGTTCATCTATTCACGGGACCTACATTTGTATGTCTCAGCGTTGGCTGCCTTTCTTGATGGCGCACGCACGAACGCTTTGATGGCACCTCCCGTAGGAACGATTGGCCATGGGTGATCTTCGGTCCTGTGGGAACAACGCTCCGTCCTCCCGAGGACGCGCGGTCAATGGCCTAACCGCTAGGGCATGAGCACGCCCCCTCCTCCGATACACGAGTCAGGCCCCCGTCAAGTAGGCCTGAAGGTTGAGGGTGTGCTGCGATGCCACACATATTCTCGCTGCCTGCAGGAGGTAAAGTAGCTCGTTTGCCGTAAGGGCTTCGGGCGAGGGAGGTCGCGACCCACCTGGCGCCTGCCACATGGTGGCGGTCTATTTCAGGGGGGTAACTGAGCTCGGAACAGAGGAAAAATGTGGTCGTGGAAAACGAGAAATGTAGACGGGAAGTTTAGGCTCTTGGTTGCTGCGGAGCCCGATGTCGTGTGAAAAAGCACTGTTGAGAGCAGCGACGGTAACAATGATAGAAACAAAACAGAAGAGGCCTCGGGGTGGTTTTTCTTTGTGCGATAGCTTGGAGGGGGTGAGAAAGGGGCTCTCTTTCGCCGCCTGATGAAATGATTTCGCGACAAACGCGTGGGAGAATGAGAGCGAATACCTCTGTCGTGACCCATGCAGAAGCTGTCGGTCTGTTCGGAAAACATTGCGCCGGTCTGACGGCCCCCCGCCCTGCACCACACTATATGATTGGGTGCAGGGTGTGAAGACGATCAAGCAAGCGAGAGATTGCTGTGCATGTAGCTTATTCTCCCACACTCACTATTTTTACACCGTTCCCCCGTCTCTGCGCACAGGAAGCAAATCGAGCACATCTCTCGCACGAATCCCACTCCAACCACCTCAATTGTGCAACCGCAGAACAATGGTAATCAAACATCACATACATTCTTCCCGCCCCACCTGACGCAAGTCACTCCAACATTCATTCCTAGCACAACAGAAATCAACGCAGGCTCACCAATGTACAGCAGTATTTGGCTTTCGCGTGAACGTAACATCAGAAGACCCGCAACAAACAAGAACGGAGGTTATCTACAGCCCGAATGAACAAAGCCCTCCGGCAGCTTGGTACATGCAAATATGTGAAATGTGCACACGCGAGGCCAAGCAGGTGAATTACGGCATCCTAGCCCATCCAACGAAATAGAAGCACGAACGATCGCACGTGGCCGAATACTGTCCTACGCTACTTCAACGAATTTATCGCACCTCTCCCCGCCCCATGTATGCCGTCCTTCCTATCAGCTACAGTTACCAGGTGCATGCGGTACCCTCCCCCCACCTCCGCCCCTGTCCCCCCGCAACCATCCCCGCGCCTGCTCACACCGTCAAGTAACAAGCCCAGACATAGCGTACCACGAATGTCGGCAACAGCTACCAAATTCAGCCCAACACAGGAAGAAATTGCCACCACCAACAAAAATATCTCTAATTGTAGGTCAAATACAGCGGCGAATACATGGATAATACGAAAAAATGCATTGTGTGCGGACCATTCTTGCTGGCGAATCCTGTCGGCAAAGTCACTCTATTTTTTCAGATGCTTCGATCTGGATGGTCAACATGTATCGATGAGCCCATGAGAAACGCTGCCGCCGCTGGTGCCGCTGGCCAGCGGGCAAAAAAAAATTACAGCGAAACGCCCCAAATACAGGCACGTACCTCACATACAAGCAACACTTGTATGTTGCACCGCAGCTACCAGTGAAATTTATGCACAACAGCGGCGGCGGCAGCAGCAGGCTGCAACCTTGAGCTGTGTCCATGAAAAGAGTTGAGGGTGGCCCTCAAGAAACAACTGCCCGCGAGAGATTTTCGCCCGAAACACAACCAAACGCTCCGCACCCACGCAGCGGCAACAGCAACAACAGATCGTATCAGCAGCAGTAGCAGCCATGTTGCTGGGACTGCAAATCTCCCCCCGCTCTCCACGAATACAAATCAGCCACAATGGACGCTTGGGAACATGCTATTTTACATGATGGAGACGCCTCGAGAGCAATACTTACACATCTTCATCCAACATCCAAACAAACCACACCCTGCGAAGCGCCTTGCGAAACAGCACAAGGCGCAGTCAGTCCGATGGACGACCGCTCCTTGATGGCGACCTAAACCAATACTTCCCGCAGAGTGCGTGCGCTGGCTTGCGACGGGCACCTAGTCATGTGCAGCAGCTCGCCGACACACGCATGCATGGTCTGCGTTTTGACCTCGCTGGGTTCCACGAGAGGCACCCCAATTCCGGTTCCCTGGGTTGGCCACAAGGCGCAATATATCTGCGGAGGTACTCCCGGCATCATCGAGCACCGAGCACCGAGCACCGAGAGCGTCTTGTCGACTCGGCCCCTCAGTGAAGCGGCAAACCCATACCACCGGACAACATTCACAAATGACGAGCGTGGAGGAACAAACGAGTGCATGCAGCAACCCCCCCCCGCTTCTTCTTCTCGCCCGTGCGGATATATAAATCTTCTACGCCCATCCAACGCCCCGTCAGAGCGCTCGTGCGGTTAAGACATCAAAACAAAGGAAACAACCGTCTAGAAACCGTTCAGGCACGCAAAACATGATTACGCCCGCCCACCCCAACACACACGACAACAAATACCGAACAAAAGAGAGGAGGCCCCATGCTTGGTCATTTTATTGGCTCTTTCATTACTTGCAGGGGACAACGCCGGCGCGGTGAAGGTCCGGAGTGATGCTCTCCACCGACACGACCATGATTGACTGCCCTACCGGCAGGCTGTACGGGTTTTCCTCCTCGCAAGTTTGGTCCTGGGTGCGCGCGTCGGCGGGGCGCGAGCGTGAGAAAACAATGAACGTGGTTCGCGACAATCCGCCACACACAAGGGGGTGAAGAGACGGGGCGGTCCGTCGTCGCTGACAGTCGAAATTCGGTGTGAAGCATGATGAGCAAATACGGAAACAAATGTATGTATCGTTTGCACTATATTTGATCGATATTCTTTTGGGGGGGGCGGGGGGCGGGGAAGAAGTGCAGTTGAGCGAGCACGCAATGTTGTTTTTTTGACAAAACGAACATCATGACAAATGTTTGGCCGGGATTGAGAGGTATGCAGAGTGTGTGACAATAGAACACCGTGCGTTTGTGCCCATGGGAAAGTCTTCTGTCTGACATTTGCCCCCAACTACCAGTTTTCCGACGGCGGGCACGGGGTTACCATTGGAATTATGAGGGCAAAAAGACAGGTTGACATGACAGACGTGGCGTTTTGCTACTAGCCGTTCACGCGGTGGCGGTACTGCCGTAGTCAACCAACCATCCAAAAACGCTCCTCACCCGAATCTCGATTATCCGGCCGAGCACGTAGTAGGAACGGAAGTGCTCGTCCCTGCCCACCAGGTCTTGGCTCTCCTTAGACAGGAAGTGCCGGGGGCATCCGACGTTGAACGCCAAGAAGTTGCCCTCCGGTGTGGGGAAGAACATGGCAACCTGTCCGACAGAGAACCTGGAAATGAAGGCGCCGGGGGGGGGGGGGGGGGGGGTTGGAAATCAAGATTGTGAGGATTCTCATGGTATTGCGAGTGAGACATGGGAAGAGCAACAGCAGAAAATGGCAGGGGCAACGAAAGCAACCGGCATGCGCTAAACGGCTTCCACGCCAGCACCAAAACATGACAGACAGCAACCACGACAACAGCACGCCAGGACCAAGACGCCACCACCCCCTCCGATTCCCCACCTCGTAAACGCGATGCCCCCGATGCACGCCAACGCTTCCCCGACCCCTGCCCCCTCCCCCTTCTCTTCCTCTTCCCCCGCAGCAGCACCGCCAGCAACGACGACAGAAGAGGCAGCCCTCGCTTCTCCCATCTCCTCCGCTGTCCCGATTCTCCCTCTCCCCGACCCCCGCCGTTGCCCACGCCCGGCACTGCTGTGGGCAGCAGCGGCGGTACGTGATGCAGCACCGCCTCCGGCGGTGGCGTTGTCCTGTTCGCCCACGACGGTAGGGGACGGGGTCGTTCCATCCCCGGGGGCGGACGACGCCGCGGCGGAGGGCGCCGCTTTCTCGTCTTCGAGCGATGCGCACCGCTCCAGCAGCTCGGCGATCTGAGCCTTCTGCTGGGCCACCACCTGTGCGGTACGCCGACGCAAGGGCAAAAAAACAAAGAGGCGGAAAAAAAAAAACGGCAGCGAGGAAGAAAAAGAAAGAATCCTCACACAGCAAGTCGATCTCAAAAGACGACGCGAGGGATAAGGAGATTTTTTGTTGCACACTGCACAAGTTGGAAGCAAGCAATGGCATATAGAGCAAACAAGCAATCAGCAAAGGCGAGGAAGAGACTACAAAAAAATATTACATGTGCCCAGTTCGACAATACCGCCTCTTTCGCATCCGACAACCCGCGGACGGCACGTGGGTCAAAAAAGAGGGTGCGTTCGGATTTAGACTCACGAAATTGACATCGAAGACGGGGGATGATGGATGACCCCTCCTTCTTCGCAAAAAACGGGGACACGCTCGCAAGAGCTACCGCTATCGCCGGTATGGCGAACTCGATGTAGATTGACACCCATGTACAATTTGCTAGACACGCCAGCTCGCAAGAGACGCACAAATGAGCCGACCACATAAAAAAACAGTCAAGCGCGTCTCGAACCATCGCACGTGCTCCAGATTTGTAGATGGTACAGCGGCGGCTATGATAAAAAGACAGGGTTGGACATGCCGAAATGATTTTCGTATATCCGGCTTCCTCTCACAAACCTGACAGTATTCTTGCGTACAATATCATGGTCGTGACAAGCAATTCTGGCACCCACATTATCCGCAGTTTCTCTCATGCCGATTTTCTTATCGCGTACGCGACACTGTACCAAGATTCGGAAGAGTATAGCGGGGGGTCCTGGGTAGTACCGGTATGTGCCCCTTTATATTACGACATTCGACCGGCACCACACACGGGGCACTTTTTCAAACTACAGAAGGACTTGGTGATTCACTCTGTGCCAGCCTAATGAAACCGACACTTTACCGGACAGCGGCACTATTCAGAACAGGGATATATAGGTTTTAGTACAGGATCTGTTAGCATAGGAGTTTGTAGTATAGGATTTGTTAGTATGTACAGGAATTTAGTATAGACGTTTTTAGTATAGGAGTGGACGCTCGTGCCCAGATATTTGACCAGCACTGTACCGGACAGCCACACTATTCCACCTGCACACTCGAGCCCAGATATCTGGCCGGCAACCGGCATCGTCCATCTGGCACTGCTAAAAAAACGGGCGCCCGACCCTCGTTCACACCTTCTGGAGCTGGTCCTTGGCCTTCTCGGCGGAGCTGGCACGCCTCTGCCAGAACTCCCCCTGCTCCTCTGCCGCGGCCGCTCGCCGCGCCTCCAGCAGAGCGGACTTGTACCCGGCGAAACCGGCCAGGGACGCGCTCATATTCATGTTTGTCCCACCGCCGCCGCCTTTGCTCCCTCCTTCCCAGTCCAGGAGCGGGCCGAGCGGCACGAGGGAGGAGGGCGTCAGGCCTCTGGCGGAGAGGAAAGAGGACGACGGAGAGGTCGTGGTTTCTTCCCCCGTGGCGGCGGACAGGGTCGTGTTGTCGCTCTTGCTGCTGCTGCCGTCCGCGCTACCGCTGCTGCTGATGCCGGCCGGGGTGCTCTTCGCACGGGCTCGGCGTCCGGCAGCGTCCTCGTCCGCACCGTCGGTGCCGTGGTCGCCGTCACCGTAGCCCTTCCTACCGTCGTCATCATCATCATCATCATCATCGTCGTCGTTGGTGCTGCTGCCGCTGCTACGGCCGAACGGCAGCGCGAGAGCCGAAGAAGCCACCCTGCTCCCGGAAGAGACCGCACCCCCCTCCGGCGCGCGACCACCGCCGCCGCCCCCGCTACCGCCGTAGCGCGCCGACGCGAGCGCGCTCAGGCGTGGCGTTGTGCGCAGCCGCCCGTCGGCGTCTTCTTCTAGCAGCGCCGGGGCCGACGTCCTCGCCGCAGACGGGTCGGCTTGGGCCGCTGCTCCTGCCGGTGGCACGGTGGACGACGATGCCGAAGACAAGGTGCCGCCACCGGCGGCCGCCGCTGCCGCCGCGGTAGCGAATCCCGGAGGGAGGCCACCGTCGCCGCCGCCGCCGCCGCCGCCGCCGCCGCTACTCTGGATCCTGTTTCATTTCATTGTTTCGGCGGAGCTGGGGTGAGGGGGGGGCGGAGGCCACAAAAGATGCTCGAAGGTTTCGTCTCCGGGACGTGTAGGACCGAGGGTCGATAATACGGAAACAATGGGCATAAAGGTACCTTCTTGCATGGCGGTTCGGGTCTGCTGTAGCGGCACACAACATGAACGCATGAGAAGATTTTCGCGCATGCGTCTTCTGGTTTCGGAATAATTTACCAGCACACAACGACAGACAAAGGAAACAACAAAAAACACCAGCAGCGACAAGACAAGACAAGACAAGACACGAAGGTCAAGTGCCCAGACTCGCCCGCGAACGATGACGCTGAGCGACGTTATCGGTACGACCGCAAAAAAGAACCACATGGAACGCGTCAACGACTGACATCATCAACAGCCACTCACGACAAAGGCAGCCGCGTCATGAATAACACTTGTACACACCACAGCCAACACCACGCAGCAACATTATTTTCAAAACGACCAACCGTCAATGACTGAATAACTCGAATCAGAGCCGTGGTGTCCTCCGCTCATGATAAGACCAACAAAGGCACACACCGACGCAGAGCCGTGTTCCTCCGCCACTAAATAACAACAACAACAACAGAGGCACACACACACCGGCAGGGAGCCGAACAGGCGAACGCGGGCACATATCGTACCTGAAGGGACTGCTCGCCGCGGAACCCCCCGTCACATCCGAAACGGTCTCCGAAACCACGCACGTGAGCTCCGACAGAGAAAACGGCACGAGTCCGCTGCCGCCGCCGACGCCGCCGCCGCTCTCGGCCCCACCACCCCCTACCGGCAGAACCACGGGGCCCCGCGCTCCGGTCGACAACGGCGCTCCCTCGCGCCGTCCCTCTTCCTGTCCTTCCGAGGAAGAGGACGAGGAGGAGGGAAACTCGGAGGAGGAGGAGGCGTCGTTGGATGCCTCCGACGCTGACTGGAGGGGCGGTGGCTGGTAGACGTGGTTGGGTAAAAACGGGGGGGGGGGAGGGGGGGGGGCGTGTGAACAATGAGGGGTACTTGGTGCAGCGGGTGGTGCAGACCCGATGTCAGTCTCGTGCGAACTTCTGCATAGTAATATAACAACATTAACGACAACAGCAACAACAACGACCCCTCTCTCTGTCTCTGTCTCCGTCTCTGTCCCTCCAATCTCTCACCCCTTCGTCCACGCGGCGCCCGCTTCGCTCGGTGCGGCCTCCTCCTCCTCCTCCTCCTCCCCGGCGACGGGGGGGACGGGTAGGGGACACGGACGGAGACGAGACCTGACCAAAACATACCGGTAGGCACATCGCAAGAGAGGCATGCCTTGAACATCGTACCCTGGCCATGTTCTAGGCGAAAAATCAAGCAGAGGATACTCGGACGATGCCAGAAAATATCAAAAGATAAAACAGTACCAATACCAAAAGAAGGGCTTACAATTTGAAGCGGCGACCGCGTGACGATGCGTGTCTGTCTCACCATCGACCGCCGCTATCAGGCGAACTGTATGCATACGACAGACCCGCCCGCCAACTCCATATTTTCCACACGCGTACAGCGCCAATATCCATACATATCTTCGCACGGCGCGCTTGCCTATTCCCCGCGACTTCTCATCGTGCATCTTACCCCGACTGCTAGGCCCGCAGCCCGCTCTCGACGGCGCCCCGCCGGCCTCCGGGAAGTGGCGGCGGCCGCCACCGGCCTCCGCCTTGTACCGGACACTCCGGCAGCAGCAGCGGCGGCGGCGGCGGCGGCGGAGGTAGCGCCAAAGCCGGCCAACGTGGCCGCCGTCGCGGTGATGTCGTCGGCGTCGTCGGTGTCCGGCCACGCGGTAGCCGTCGCGGTGATGTCGTCGGCGTCGTCGGTGTCCGGCCACGCGGTAGCGGGAACCTTTTGTGCGTAAAAAAAAAAAAAAGGAGGGAGGCGACGGCGGCGGCGGCGGCGGCTCTCAAGCGGTTTCGTGTCGTTGGTCGCGATGCTGTTGCGGCGGAAGTTTTTTGTTTAGGGGGGTGGCAAACAGGGGGAGTGAAGAGGAGGAGACCTCGGCGGAAACGGGGGGGGTGTTGCAACGACTGGGGCAGCTTGGTAGCACGGGGGAAAGCCTCAAGTTTGAGAGCGAGGATCCACCCGAGTTGGTTATTTCGTTTTTTCGACAACACAAAATGAGAATTGAATTTTGAGAGTGATGCGCAACCTGCGTCCGCCGCCGTGAACAAGGCACCACGCCACCCTCGTCGTCGTCGTGGTTGTTGTCGTTCTTTGTTGTTGCTGTTGTTGTTCTTCTTCTTCTTCTTGTCTTCAAATCCAACATCGTTTAGGTCTCTGCTTAGTAGTACCTTCTGTGAACGCATGTTGAAATTTGATGTGTCCTTGTCTGCACTATTAACAGCCGTCCTGGTCTCCATCGAGTGCCCCCCATGACCCGTGCCATCCAAGGGTGGAATAATGTGATTTGCCACAGGCGACAACAAAAAACGCAACGTCACGAGGGTACACACGCAATAAACCCCTCCAATAAGTTACTCTTGGACAAGAGCACCCAGGCGTTCACGTTGTGTTGAAACTGTTGAAAGCATCCGGGATAGGGCACCAAGAACGGCAGGCGGGCCACACGTGCAAAGACTTGGATCACCAACACGCCTCGAAACGAAAACAGCAGTCACTTCTGCCTCCTCCGGCATCGACCAATACCTCAAAACATAGACCGGGCTTCACAAAAAGACTGTTCTTTCTCTACCGTCATTCCACATTCCACGTGTTCATATAGTAGTGGGCTCTCAACCGGTTCAAAAACGCCGGTGACCCAACATAGATGGCGCGGGTACAATTCATGGCACAGACTGCATCACCAAGTGATTCAAGTGATTCTGTAGTTTGAATAGCGCCGGTCCCTCTGAATAGCGCAGCCGATCGATGCGCCGGGCAAATAAAAAGCGTTTCATTGAGCCCCCCCCCCCCCCCCCCAACCCGGGCCCGGGAAAA